AGAATGACGTCATAGATATCTGTAATTCAGTTTTGACTAGTCAGAATGACGTCATAGATATCTGTAATTCAGTTTTGACTAGTCAAAATGACGTTACAGATATCTGTAATTCAGTTTTGACTAGTCAGAATGATGTTACAGATATCTTAAATTAAAATTCATACTAGTCACAATGACATTACTACTAGTCAAAATGACGTTATAGATATCTATAATGGTAATTCCGGATAGTCAGACTTAGTGATTAAATGTTAAAACGGCTTGCCATAGAGGTAGAGCAGGTCGTCCACCTCGTCATCCTCCAGTCTGCATGTTGAAGTATCCTTGAGAAAGATACTGAACCCCAAATTGCTCCAGATGATGCTTCCATCGGCGTGTGAGTGTGTTAAAAACTGAGTAGCTGGTGGCACCTTGTATGGTAGCCTCGGCCACCAGTGTATGAATGTGTGTGTGAATGGGTGAATGTGACTCGAAGTGTAAAAGCGCTTTGAGTGGTCGGATGACTAGAAAGGCACTGTACAAATGCAGGTCTATTTAGCATTTACCATTCTTCACTCTGAGTTGAAGTTTTTTCAACTCAAGGAGTTCAGGGCACAGAAACACAAGGCATGTGCAATGCAAAAACACTGAGCAAAAAGCTTTATTCTCATTAAAGCAATTACAAAAAGCCACCTCCAAGCTGCTACAACGCTTTCTGTGTGATCGGGGCCTTATGGTGTAGTGTTGAGGATGAGGTGGAGCTGAGGACTCTTCCAGCCTGAAGAAAGAAGCTGCTCTGTAGTTTGCCAGACTGCAGCAGGATGAACAGGCTGTTGCTGGGTTGGGTATTGTCTTTTAATATCGTTTGAGCTCCGCGCAGGCACCTAACCTCACCAATATCACTGATGCTCAGTAGATTGTTACCAATGGCGTTCTGAGTGGTTTTGATAACTGGCTGTAGAGCCCTCCTGTCCTGGATTGTACACATCCCATGCCAGTTTGTAATGTCTCCAGTCAGGATGCTTTCTGTTGCTCCTCTGTAAAGGTTGGCAAGATTTTGACAGGGAGAATTTGCCTGCTTAAGTCTCCTTAGGAAATACAGATGTTTCTGAGCTTTCTTTACCAGGACGAGTACGAGTGAAGATCATAGACTGTATAAAATAATGGACGTAGCCACCGTGACGTCACCCACTGGTTTGCGGACTCCCATTATAGAGCCTCAAGTTTGGCATTTTGACTGATGATATCAAGGAAGGCAGAAGTGACCATATTTGGACACCAACGCTAGCTGCTAGCTTAGTTAGCAGTTAGTTACTGGAAAAATTGAACATCTAACTCCTTAGAGGGTCTTTAGTACAACCAAATGCTGAACAAGACCTTTTTTTAGGGGAGACATTACAGTTAACTTCCATAAACTGCACTGAAATGTCAACAGGCTGCACTTCACTCTGAACCTAGGGTTACACCATAATTCTGTTACCTAACCAAAGTTGTTGCCATGGTAGCAACTTTTCAACAAATGGCACCCACCTGTCACTCAGAATTCTCATCTGAGCACACAGCTTGGGGGCTCCAGTGTTCAATACTAGAGTGAAGGAGGTGTGACCACCAATCCCAACTCCCTGGGGTCTGTTTGTGAGGAAGTCCAAGTTTGTAACTCACAGGCCCCCAGGAAGTGTGCTGGGTTTGGAGGCCAATTTTCACAGTGTCCAAAGAGTGTAATGACACCGTCACATTATGTCATTGGGCTCAAAAATACTTTTCCAACTGACTCACATGGCGACAGACACGTCTGTAAATCAGTGGATTATATTTTTTTGAGCATCACAACCCCTGTGAAATGACTCTTTTCACTATTAGGATTTTATCCATTCAGTCCGATAACATTGAAAGTCTGGAAGAGCCACACAATGGAACCATTTTATCCCATTCAAGTTAATGGAGTGCTAAACTGGAAGTAGCTGTCATGGCTGACGGAAGTCTTTAGTGAGCTGGCTCTGTGGCTGGCTCAGTATGGAAGCAGTGCCATGTGTAAAATTAAACTTTTTTGGCTTTTTGCGCCACTGAGCAGCATTCATAGGAAGGAACAGGGCCCCGCCTCCAACGCTGTATCCAGTTATCTATATGCATCCATTGTTAACTCAAGCCTAGGGTGCTAAGTGTGTTTATCAGTTTCATGGAGGGGTTGTTTTTGAATGCTGAGCTGAAATCAACAAACAACATCCTGATGTAGGTGTTTCTTTTGAAGATATGTGAGGGCTGAGTGGAGGGCAGTGGAGATGGTATTCTCTGTGGATCTGTTGGCTCTGTGTGCAAACTGGTGAGGGTCCAGGCTGGCTGGGCTGTCTAGCAGGTTTACTCTTATTTACGCTGATCAGGGTTTGTCTTACACCTGCTGTGGACATTGACAGTGGCTGGTGCTCTGGAGGCGGGGCAGACTTTGCAGCTGACTCTTTGTTGAGGAGATTAAAGCAAGCTTAAAAGGTGTGAAGCTCATCTGGCAACCTGGCCTCAGACATGATCGGGTGCTCCTGCTTTAGTAGCCTGTGATATTTTGGATCACCTGCCACATACGTTTATTGTTTGGTGTTGAGGTCTCCTCTGATGTCTCCTTGATGCCAGCTTTAGGTCTCGCTCTGGCAGTATTGTTGTATGCTCGTCACCGTTGTCTCGTCACCTTACCGAAACAGCTTTTTTGGCTCTGGATAGGCCCCTCGCCTCTTCATCCATCCAGGCTCTGATTGGAGAATGATTTTATCGTTATGTAATCACCACATCATAAATACATTTGCAGATAAGTATTATCAGTGATGATGTATATTCCTCATGATGGATGTGGTTCTCCTGGGTGGAGGCGCTCCTGAACATGTTCCAGTCTGTGCTCTCAAAACAGTCCAGTAGAGCTGCTATAGCTTCATCTGTTCACACTCTGTGTTTTTGTGATGGTTTGACATGTGATCTGATCGTCCAAAGTGGGGATGGGGAAGAGCTTTGCTGGTGGAATTTAGATTAGATTTCAATTAATCTAACAAGAGGGGCAAAAAGCAGTAAAGTGCAGAGTAATTTACAGACTATATACAGAATTAAATATGGAATAAACAGAATGAGACAGATAGCTGCTGATTTGCAGAATCTGGAGCCTCATGTTATGCAGTAGCTAAATGCTCCAGCTCCACTGCCAGCTCATTTTGTCTGTCTGCTGTTCAGTGCTGAGCAGGTAGTGTAATGTTGGTTTTAAGAGCTTTTTTTTTCTCTGCTGTGTCTAAATTGACACTGATGATAGCACAAAGAGTGAACCAAAACTGTAAAGCTGTGGGCTGTAAAGCCACAACAATGAGCTGACAGATGCTATACAACTCCATTTTTCCCTCAACTAATCGTTGTCAACATCAATTTCAATTTTCAATTTTATTTAGAAAGCCCAATATCAAAAAACACAATTTGCCCCCTCTGTCCTTTGGATCCTCACAGCAGATAAGGAAAACCTCCCCAAATCATCCCTCACAGTTTGCAGACCGACCTCCTGATTCATATTTAAGTGACCACGTTTGATGTTACCTTGTCCATCGCATTCTCCTGAAAGTGGTTTCTAAAGAACACCACAAAAATCTACTTGGACTGAAGGATAAACTGATTAGAATCTGGTGCTCAGAGGTCAAGGTCACTGTGACTTTGTGTCAGTTTCATTTCCTGAAGGTGGTATCTTTAGAAGGCCCTGAGGAAATTTCCTCAAATTTAGCACAGATCTCCACTTTTACTCAGTAATGAACTGATAAGAATTTGATGGCCGAAGGTCAATAGTCAAAGGTCACTGTGACCTTACAAAACATGTTTTTGGCCATAATTCAGAAATTCATACCCTAATCATAACAAAATTTCACACAAATGTTGAACAGGATAAATAATAAAGTGGTGATATTTTTAATCATAAAGGTCAAAGGTCAGTTTCACTGGGTGAAATCATGATGTTCTGCAGAAACACTTTTCTGGCCATTACTCAACATCATATCTCAGGAACAGAAGGGGAGACATTTAGTCAGATACTGAATTGATGGCACTAATCTTGGGTGTCCACCTTCACACTGTGCTGATTGTACAGATGTGTGTGAAGCATTCATGTTTTCACAGACATGAATGTTAACTGTAAATGCAACTTGATGGGTTTTGCAGAGGCATATAACCACGAGGCTGTAATTCTAGTTTGTTAATCAGCTGTTTTCAGTCCAGTCAGCTATGATTCAGATTGGTCCGATCATATCAGACAGTCATATCCCTTTCTCATGTCCTGTCATTGCAGCCGAAGAAGTTGGGCTTCTCTAACTTGACTCACCTCAGGAGGAGGCGGCCAGATGAATCCACAGACTACGTCTGTCCAGTCGAGTCATCCTCGCCTCAGTCCGGACAGTCTGCAGTGAACGGGGTGCAGGTGCGGCCCTATGCTGGCTTCAGAGGCCTGAGCCCGATCCTGGACAGAGACGCCGACCGCACCAGGGACCAGGTGGGGCTCGACAACAGCAGAGCTGACCCATCTCCATGACAACAGCTGTGACGACAGCCAATCAGCAGTCACTGCCACTACTCTGCTTCCTTTGCTTGCAGCCCATAATACCTCAGCCCATCCCCTCCCTGCTCCTCTAAACCCCGCCCATCAGCCCGACCCTGTGCCTTACGAGTGAAGAGATTCAGAGATGCCCAGATAAACCTGCCTGACTGTATAACAGTCACAGCTGCTTGTCATGAAGGGTGCACTGAAACCATGAATCTACACACTTGAAGTATTTTGATTTCATATCCAATCAGATGCCTAACTAACCCGACCTCTGCCTCAAACCTGTGCCATGATCTAACTCATCAGGAGAGAACACAGCATCTCTCTGGACTTCACTTCCTGTGATATCACTTCCTGTAATCCATACACACTATATGGATATCTCTTGTTGTACAGTATTAAGTCATTGCTCTAACATTTGTGCACCACCATTAGATGATTTTATATGTGTGTGAGTCTGTCATTGCATCACTTACAACTTTGATTTTCCAGTTTAATACAGTTGTATCATGTGCTTGAGATAAACTTGTGCAATATTTGCATAACATTATGGAGGGCCTTTATTTAATATTTATGTCATTGCAGAGCAAATTATAAAATAGCATGTTTAGTTTGAACCTGAGGTGGTGATTTTGTACTGTTATTTTCATATTTGCTGTAATAGTATTTTTATAGTAAAGAAAATCCTGCTCCACTGACGGAAGCTTAAAACATGTGGTCATGTAAATGTAAAAAGATTTATCAAATCATTTAATAAACAAAATCATACGTGTGTAAAGTTGATTCCTTCTTTCTATACAAAAGGCAGAAAGGTCAGACATGGAAGCAAATCAGAAACACAAGTATTTGAGTTTGAACAGCTACTGAATCATTAATATGGGAACCAGTGAATTGATTGGTGTGAAATATTTTACTTTGCAAACCATTCATCTTAATGTATTCTGATCTGTTCTGATCTTAACCATTTGAAATGAAAATGTGTAATTTCTTGATCTACAATATCAAAAGCTGCATTTGAATATTGTTTTCAATGATCCAAAACCCAAAATTAAAATTTTATTGGTCAAATTAGTTTAAATTCAGTTCTAAAAATTAAAATTTTCAGTTGGTACCATACAGTCTATTCTAAAAACTCTAAAAATTATGTGAATTTGTAAACATTAAAAAATATTATATATATCAAAATATTCTAATTAAGAAATTTCATATTTTAATTTCAGATTGAAGAGGTGAATTCAGAATAGTCACATGGTTTTTAAAGTAAAATATTTTCAATGAATTATTGACAATATTGATGAATTTATGAAGTGAAGTTTCAATATTAAGTATTCAGTGGCTGTTAAAATTCAGATGCTTATGTTTCTTATTTGCTTCCATAATCAGACATAGACACAGAGCAGTGAATTTCATTCATATTTATTTATTTTGGATGCACAAGGTATTAGGGGCATGGGTGAATTATGAGACAATGGGTCCCTGGGCACAGACATTTAAAGACCCCACCACCTCTTCTACGTAGGACTAGAAATGCACACACAGACCTGGTGGTGATTTTGCTTTTTATTTATTTTTAAATTTTTTTTGGTAGTCATTTTGTATCTCTTTATAGTCACTTTGTGTCTTTTTGCTCATTTTTTGTCTCCTTTTGGTCATTTTGCTTCCTTTTTGTAGTTATTCTGTGACTGCTTGTCCTCGTTTTGTGTCTCTTTGAGGTCATTTTGGGGTTTCATTTCAGGTAGTATTGTGTATTTTTTTTTTGAGATTATTTTTTTTTGGCAGTTTTGATGATGATTTGATGACCGGACAGCTGTAGGTACATAGGAAAGGTGGGAGAGACAGAACTGGATGACATGCAGCTAAGGGCTAAGAGCTGGAATCTAACCCGGGCCGCTGCAAAGGACTCAGCCTACATGGGGCGCACACTGTGCTGGGTGAGCTGGGGGTCGCCCTGTTTTTTGTCTCTTTGAGGTAATTTTGTGGGGAGGATTGGTAGTTTTGTGTCTCTTTGTAGTTACTTTGTGTCTCTTTTTGGTGGTTTTGCCCCTTTTTTGTTAATTTGTGTGTCTGTAGTTTTTTTGTGCCTCTGAGGTATTTTTGTGTTATTTTTTAGATCGCTTTGCATCTGTTGTGGTCGTTTCTGTTTCTTTGGGCTCATTCGTCTCTTTGTGGTTTTTGTCCCTTTTGTAGTTATTTGTCTCTCTGCAGTTCCTTTGAATCTCTTTGTGGTCTTCTGTGTGTCATTCTAGTTGTTACGTGGTATTTGAGTGACATTTTGTAGGAGAAGGCCAGGGGGGCCCTGACATTTTGGGCCCCTGGGCCTGTGTCTGTAGGCCTGTAATCCATGCATGATTACGGACATGTATTATCTTCTCAAAGCCTACACTATAGCCTGTATTTGTCTGATTAAATCAGCACCAATCCTAAAGATAAAGAAAAATGTGGACAGCTTGCCTGAGTAACCTGCTTCAACCACTAACCTGCTTTTCATCGTCATCATCATCATCATCCTTACCATCATGGTGGCTGTCATGGCTGTTTATGACACCAGCTTCCCCCTTGGCGGACCAATCTGAGCCAAGATGGCTGCCGACCATTACCATGGTAACCCTGTAAAAGATGAAATGGGACATGCATGTTTGAGTATAGCTCAGCATGCAGCTGCAGGTACAGACCTCATGCATTACTGTCAGTAATGTACAGTACACTTCTGTGTACTCACATGAATGTAAATTTGAAACCCATCATTGTTTCACTGAAAGTATGTCTGTAATCGTGACTTATAATGGGTTCATGAGACCCTTGTGTGTGTGTGTGTGTGTGTGTGTGCGTGTGTGTGTTGCAGATGGCGATCACAGAGGGTACCATGTTGCAAATAGAAGCTCTGTCTGAAAGCATCAACAACCTCACAGTAAGAACCAACACATGCAAGCTGCTGCTAATTACTTGTGTAGCTGATTCACACACCAAGTAACTGCTCCTCAGCGGGTGGACCAGAAGTTTGATTCACTCAGATGGAAAACTCTAGAGTTTATCTGAGGGAGAAAGTCATTAAAACAAGTAATAGGATGAGTTCATGAGTGAAACCTGCTCGCTGCTACTTGCTGTTATCAGACAGATGCCAATCTTGGTTCTTTTGCTCCTGTTGTGTTTGCTGAAGTTATCTTAGTAACGGAACCCCGAGGCTTTGGATAGCAAACATGTAAAACCACTTCTTGTTAGCCACCTAAAGCAACAGCTACACCAGCTGAGCCTTGAGATCTTACAGGAAAACTATTCCCCTTGTTTTATTATAACTGGAGCAGTTAAATGTCAAAATGAAATATTCAAGAACCCATAACCATGAAACCATTTTTACAGGAGTTGTTCTTTATTAATTTCAAAAACCTTTTTCAAGAGCAAAGGTATGACATTGTGAATAAAACCATTTATTATTTCAGAACAATAACTATTTTGTGCTTTCCCTGGTACTACAAGGCCAGTGGCCTAAACTAATCAAACTGACTGATAATGGAAAATGGAGTAATGGAGTTTTTACAGCAGACATTTTGAGATGTCATACTATGAAAAGCACAGGTGATATTAATAACTTTAATAATTGATTAATTAATTCTATGTAGGTCATCTAATTTCAAGGTTTTGTATTGTGCATGCTGACCTACTGACACACTCAGTGACGGTAATTAAAGAGGACCCCTTATGCTTATGTTCAGGTTCATTCTTGTATTAAAGGTTTATGCAATAACATGTTTGCATGCTTTAATGGTCAAAAACACTTAATTTTCCCCAGACCATGTGCTTGAAGACCTGTTTTCACCCTTGTCTAAGAAGCAGGGTTTTTTTTAGTGTCTGTCTCTTTAAAGGCTCAGACACACCAAATCAACTTCAGGGAACTAGCAGCAGAAAAGGCCCCCTCCTGCGTAACCTCACATGGCCTGTGACTCACCCAAAAAGTTGCACATGAACACACCGCAAAGACATCAACAGAGAGACAACCAGGACCTACACTCTGCACTTGGAGGAAATAACTCTCCACACCAGCAGGCAGCAGTAATCTGTGATTGTCATACAAATAGGGAAACCGGAAGACCGTCTTTATGCTAGTTAGCCAGTTAGCATATTGACAACAATCCAATGTTGAAATAACAGCATATTTACTGTGCACCAGTGAACAATAACACAAACCATCAGGAAACGTTTCTGCTAAAAAGCTCAGTGGCTAAAGAAAAAGTAAACTTACCTTCAAGTAAGCTAACTAATAAGTTAGCTGAAGAGACACACTCACATACCTTTCCTTGTGGGTTTTGTAGAGACAGATGAAATCATATGTTGTAGTGACCGTCACTGATGTTTGAGCTGCAAATCTTGCATATTGCTGTTCTCTTCTGACTACTGACATCTACAACATAAACCTTGAATCTACACTTTATTAATTTTGGACTAGCCTGCTTGATAATAGCAGCCTCATGTGGTGGCCTCTGCTCATCTGCTGCGCAGGTTTGCGCGTATTGCACTAGAAATCACCCAAACGTGTTTCAAAAAACAAAACATAAATTGTCAATATCTAGAAAAATGCAAATACTGAATTCGAGTCTTTTCTGAGTGTTAGACAAGTCTCAAGTCCTCAAATTTGCGACGTCAGTTCGACTCAAGTCCAGTCACGTGACTCTAGTCCCCCACCTCTAGTGAAATTACCTGAAATTAAGAATTGTGTTTTTGTTACCTTACCTTTTTGCCCTTCATATGCACATCATTAGCGGGTCCTCTTCCACAGAGTCTGCCATACTGTACCACCATGTTTCTACAGTAGCCCAGAACAGACAAACTAAACACTGGCTCTAGATAGGGCTGTTCACGTTGTTGTTGTTGTTGTTGTTGTTGTTTTTTACCTAAAGGCCACTGTAGGTGGCTGTAAGTGAGGGTTGAGCAGAGGACTTTTAATATGGTTGCAATCTGCAACCTCATTTCTGGATCCTGCTAAGTGCTACACACTGCTCCTTTAATGTTCAAGCCAGTCGAGAGGAGCTAAGTGTAACTAACCCACAAAATATGCTGTGTTCTCTCTGAAATACAGTGGTGTAGAATTATGTAGTGTAGAAAAACATTTTTAATTGTATGAGCTCATTTGCAATTTTATATGTTATGACAAGTCAAAAAATCTGCTGTGAAAAAATGCTCATTGATGCTCAGCTGCTGTGAAACTGGTTGTGCTCTTGGGATAAGTTTTTCGCTCATGCTTCCGGTGATATATGTTATGCCTAGCATTGAAGGCATAACTGGTTTCATTTCCAATAACAAATGAGGCCTTTGTTCACACATTTGGAAGGCTTTCATGATGGTACTGCCTTCAAAATCAGGACCAAATTTTCCATAAACTCTTGTTATAAATCTAACGTTGCCTCTGAAGTTAAAGTTTACTTTTGAGATTAAAACCATAAAGCAATCTGACACAAAATAAGAGTCTCTGATTGCCTTGTTTGTTGACAATACGCTCATGTACTGAAACTGTGTTGACTGATCCCAGCTCAGTGGCAAACAGACTGCCAAGCTCTCTAACCCATTACCACTCCCATGATGCTTTGCTTTCAGTACCTGCTCAGCCGAGACGAGCTGCGGAAGGAGCTGAGGCGGTCTCAGACGGCACTAGTTTGAAGACGCTGTTGGTTCACTAATGCTGTCAATCAACCACAGAGACCTGTAGCAACCAATCTGACACCTGTACTGTACCTCAAGCCACGGACACCTAACCCTGCAGCGTGGAGCCGTGATATCGACTTCTCTTATCTGCTGATACCTCATGTAACACTTGCAGTCACTCTCAAGTCACACTGTAGTGGGCTTAGGAACACCAGTGGACTTACACTATGTGGAACACAATATGTTGCTCATAAAAATGTTTTTAATTTTTCCACTAATGAACTGAACTGTTACTCGTTCGCCCTTTTTTTTTTTTTTTTTTCTTAACTGCTTTTCTTGTTTCTCTATGCAATGTAACCTCCAATGATCATACTGACCACTGTGTACTGTACATACTGTACTGGGATATCAGAGCGAAGAAAAAGGCCACATTACAAAATTTCTTGTTTCATGGCAATCATATGATTCGCAGACTATCATTTATTTTTATGGAATCTGTGATGAAAGAGTGAAAAAAACCCTGCGTATGGTGGCTGAGACATTTTGAACAAATGCCTTGCAAATTGAAAAAAACTCAAACGCAAAAGCCACAACAGATGTCAGTGTCAGCAGATGTTGACAATGAAACAGAGATAGCAGTTTTCAATCCACATATAGTCCTACCTGCATTCAGCAAAATACAAGCACAAATGTAAGAAATGGAGGTTCAGCCATCTGAAAGATCTCCCCAAGAGACAAGAGTGGCCAGATAAAGCCAGATTAAAAATCGATTTAATCAATGGCAAGGAAACGCAGACATACGTGATTTCACTAAACCCATGTTACTTTGTTGAAATTACTTATATTATCTTAGTAGGGAAAGATTCCATGGAAATTGTTTAAAGATTTTAGATTGGGATTAGTTTATAATAAATAAATCTATTTTTTTTATATAAATTGAGATGCAGTAGAAACAGAGAAAGGTTTTGTCTCAGCTAGGATAGAATTCTTCCGGAGCCTCGACACTGGAGGTAATAAAATGACCTGAATACAGGTGGGTGATGAGAGCTCCTCAGCAAAACGTCCAGAGACAGACAGTGTACACACAAGACAGAATCAGGATTAGCATCAGTGCATAAAAGAAAGAAGAAAGTTAATCAGTTCAGCATAGTGATGTATGAAATGTGTGAACGAAAGGAGCTTTAGCAGCATGAGCAAGTGGAAATGATGGCTGAAAACTTTTTGAGGAATACTGTACATAGAAAATTCTTAGTGACTTGGAGTCATGGGGGGCCACATCTAACAACAGCAAAACCATATCAATTAATCAAAACAGTTTACAAACTCTCACACAACTCATGCAGTATAATCCAAGTCTTATTTATCTAGTCATATGCTCAGTACTTCCCAAACACATGCATTTTCACCAGACTCTTACTATTTAAAACGCGTACAAGTAGCATGCCTGGCAAAGGGCGTCCATTGAGTTCAAATTCACGTGGTTTCCCAGGCATGCTACTCGTCCGTGTGTTCAACTGTTGATGCATAAGTGATCTTTTTTAGCATCTTTTAGCCCATTGTTTTGATTTTATGGCCTACAACTTCACTGTTTTGGATTCCTGCCACAACAGGCAGCCGTTTTCAGTGAAAAAGCTGAAGAACAAGATATTTTTTTTCAGGAGTTGGGGCTAATATTTTCAAACATATATTCTATGTGTTTATGTCAAATGAATACCGGCTGCTGTATCATTATTGTATTTTGTAAACTCTCAAATGCCAGCAAGAGAACTTGTGTTAGTAAAAAAATTTAAATTACAGGAATATCTTTCTGGTATTAGCACAAATATTAATGTTAATTTAATCCTGTTCTCCCCTGCTGTAGTGTACAGCACTGTCCACTTAGAGAAGAATTAGATATCAAAAACCTACTTTTACAAATATGTATGACTGCACGAATAACAAAATAATAGTACAGGAGGGATTGTGAAGCAAAATAAAAGCCTTTTGACAGACTGGAGTCCTCTGAGTGGTAAACAGCTCATGTTAAAGGCTGTGGAAAGTAACCTCAGGCTAATCTAAGCGCATACAAAGTAGGTGCTTAACATGCTGGTATACACATCACTCTAACAACAACAATCACTTCCAAGTGGAAAACTGGCAGTTGATTACAATTGTAGACATATGTAAAACCATCAGACTTGTTGATTTCTGTTGTCATTTTCAGTGATAACTGTTAACGTTTAAAGATTTAAAGTTAAACCCTGTGGTCTGACCTGTCTGATGTATCTGTTGTGCTGATTTTATCTACTTTGTTCCTTTGTTGTCATGTTTGATTAACCAAATCTACCGGCACGGAGGGTAAACAATGTACTGCTGTGGACAGGGCCGCTGTGAAAATGTATTTTAGCCACCTAAAAAGAAATCAGTATCTCTGTAAGTGTACGCTATATTACTAATATTTGCTTCGCTTTTCCTTACACAGTAACCAGTCAGTGCTGCAGTAGACCAGCAACTCAGTGGCGTCTGGTGACTTTGATATAATAGCTTCAGTTATCCATCAGAAAAGTTTATCAGATGGCAAGGTAACGTGGTGAAAATATTCTAAATATAGTGTAGGCTACACTTAAACTGGTAATGGTTTTTTGGTTGGCTTTTTTAGGGGGCTAAAAACTAACTAATTTAGGAAATGTCTGCTCAGTGCTGTTAGATCATAATGTATGTGACATGAATATTTTCTATCCAGAAGTTACTGTAAATAAACACTGGGATTCGATTTGAAGTAAAGCCAGTAGAAGATCCTACAGCTGGACTACCTTACAAAAAGAATTGGTTAAAACTGGGGTTTCAACAAGAACAATAAACGTCAGATGTGACCCTCAAGTCCTTCCTAACCATCCAGCCCCCTTCCACCCCTCTTTGTAAATTTTAAGTAAAACTCCTATGAGAGCCAAACTAAAAACTCCTGACCCAGCCTACATGACCTCATTTGTGACAGTTGAGCATTTTGTTTACCCATCAAACCCCTCAGGCTTACCCCAGATAACTGGTAAGATAAGTCTTTCGTTGACTTAACCAAAATTTGACAAGTTACAAGCACCACACCCATGCTGACACTGTCGACAACAACTCCCTCTTGAAACCTGGGATAGAAAATCTTCTTTATTCTACTGAAGGTTCTGTACACGTCAGGACACTGAAGACTGAGCTTCACATACAGCACCATATACACACTGTGTATCTCAGCAGGGCAGGGGCCAGGAGCGGAGGGCAGGTAGTGTACTCGGGACTGCAGAAACTTCCAGACCCATCCTGGTGAGTATCTTTCATCATTTATTAAAGACTTTTATGCTTTTTTAATGGATATCAGACCATGTTGTTCCGACTGTATTAGTGCATTACATAGGTGGACAGAAAATGAATACATTTTTAATGTGCAACATGGAGAAAATACTCATTTATTCACTGTTAAATGAAAGACTGAACAGCAGCAATGGTGCCATATGGCAAGACAGCATCAATACATCAATACATTTGTCAACCATGTCTACATTTCAGATTGCACTCTAAACTCTAATTTCTATCTTTTCAGTGTATCAAGGAGACCACCCTCTGATCTCCCGCCCTCCATCATCAGTTCAACATGGGTCAGATCATCAACAAACCCAATTCTCCCTTCCAGAACTCCAAATTATTTGCCTCTTTTAAGCGTTCCTCCTCCAGCCACCCCCCAAACGATCAGAACATAGTTCCTCGACCGAGCATCTTCGCCACTCTGAAGAGGCCCCCTACCGCCAAACCCAATGATTTCATACCGCTATTTAATGACTGCATCTCTGTCGCCTCATCCAGAACTCAAGAATACCTTCTCTTCAAAGACCCAGAGGACAAGTTCCACCCAAGTCCTGACGTTCTCACTCAGGTAAGTAACTTTATACTTCCAAAAAAACTGAAGACAGCCACCTTTTAGAATTTGACAGATTTTAGTAAAGTAGTCTTTAATCCATCTCATCCTCCAACAGGTCTTCCTGATGACCTACATCACTGAGAGTGTCAACCTCAACATGACGGATACCTTCAACTGCACAGCCATGACGCCTGAGCAGCGCATCCTCCTGGGGGCTGACTGGGTCTGGGCCGTGCTGGAGAAGCCCACCAAGAATCCCCGGATCCAGATTGCCGTGCAGGTCCTACCCTTACCCGATAAGGAGGAGGCTGAGGAGAACAACATCCCTGGGGAGGCCTGCAGCGAGTCCGTCCAGATTGCCCAGCAGGAGTCCAGCAACAAGAACATGTATGAGAAAATGGTGGACTTCTGCACCTCCATCGGCAAGGACTGCTACGCCCTGTTCTTGTTCATGGGAAGGAAAAACGACAAGGGGAATATCTACGGCGTCCTTAGCAACAACTTTGATGCAGCCATTGGGAAGTGCGACAAGATTGACAGAGCTTTTATTGAGAACTTCTTCAAAGGCTCAAGGTATCTCCACACACCTTCAGGAATGATGCAGGCCATTGTCACAAAGAAAGAGGACGACCCTCTCACTCTCATGATTAAATTCAGTTGAAACAAAGGGACTCACAATATCCTAATGGCCAATAACATGATACAGTAAACTTTATGTGGTAGAAATGGGGGGGGCTTATGATGTATCTCTTGAGAAATAACCTCCAGACCTACTACAATGTTGAGTTTGATGAAGTAGAAGGCCTTTGAGAGTACATTCTGGTTATTTCTGTCTATTTCAGTTGTTGATGGTTTATCTTACAAATATGTCTGTTGTTGTTTCCTGCTTTTTACTTGGAGTCCTGTTTTCTAACAGCTTAATCTAGTAACTCATTGAAACAAGTAATTTAATAACGAGACCAAATATACTGCGTCCTATCGGAGCTGCAATGCTTTCTAAAATAGCGACCTAACATGGTGCTCAAGTTTTAGTGGATAACTGGAAAGCTAGACAAGTCCCAGTGCAGTGTGTTAATGCAGCCTGTTCTCATTACCAGGCTGTCAAATACTGATGCTCTGTCTCCCCCCTCAGCATGTGATATCAACACCAAAGGCACCCTTTGGTGCATGTGAACCCATTTGTGGCAATACTTGACACTGTGACGTAATACAAACAGTGAAAAAGTCTGCATAGGATGGGAGTTAGGGAAGGTGGGGCAAACAAACATCAGACTTTCACTAGGGAGAACATAGTTCATGTCCCGTGTGACACCAAAAGTCAGTGTTGTTTTAACGTAACGTTACGTTAACATTTACGTATAGTTGCCTTGCACTTATATTAATGTCACATCATGTTGTAACAAACACACTTATTTCAACCCGAAACATCCTTTTTCTAACCCTAACCATGTAGTTTTGTTGCCTAAACCTAACTGCAACCGTTTCACAACATAAACCTATATGTGCATCACACAGAGACCAGGGGTGTAGCAGAGCTTTGGTATTTGATTATCTGACAATGAGAACAGGTTGTTGAATGTATGTTATAGAAAATGTATTTCAATCAGTTCTCTTTATTTGCCTTTGATATTTTCAGCGTGTATTTGAACTAACTGAATGAATTGCAGTACGTAATGGCACAACAAGGAAAAGTGACATCCAAAGTTAAAAAAATACAAAGTGTAATTATCCTTTAAATACCAGCTTCAGGTTATGTTTGGCCAAGCATCATCCTTACAACCAGTTTGTCTAAAGAAACATTCTTACAGTGGACATTTTGACTTGTCAAACATGGGTGTAACTAATAAGTAATGACAGTTGCACCCAATTACATGTTTTACTCCAACCAGGGATCCTGCAGCTTGAGGCAGGTTAAATTAAAACTTGTTAAGACTTCTTTAAAGCCACTCAGAATAAATTTTTACTTTGACCAAAACTGAGGAGGAAAAATAACATGAAATGACTTTGGGTTAGGGACAATTTTGCCCAAATGTTTATTGACACACAAAAGGTGACTTTTTTGTCTAGTGGAGGAGATGAGGGTAGAACTGTACTGGGAAATACCTGGCTTCTGTTGGATAGTTTTCCTGGCTATTTTGTGTCTTACTCTACATGTGGGATTCCACTGCCTTAATTACCATCATGCAGTTTGAAAAACTTTTTGAATAAAATACACAGATTCTTGTATGCATTGCCTTGTACTGGTTTCAGCCATGCTGCGAAATCTTGGTTAAATTTTTTGTTGAATTTGCACTTATGGTGACAGCTAGTTACAAGTGGATCCTCTGCTCTGAGCATCCCGGCCAGAAACAAAATACGAGTGTTGTTGGTTCCCTTAAAGGAAGATTTTGTAAGATTTAGCGGGATTAAGTGCCATCTAGTGGTGAGGATCGAAGATTGTAACCAGCTGAAACTTCTCTTGGTTACAGTTCCGTAAGTTCATTGTTCAGGAGGTTTTGACTGGGAGCTGAATTATTCACAGAGATCTCTTCCTCTCCAAAACACATGGACCCGGTGACTTAAACCAGTAAAAACACTGAATAAAGCAGCTTCACGTTTAAAAAAATCAGTCATTTTTTCGAGGCCCTTGTCACAGAGAGGCCGCTAACTACTGTGGCTAACTCGAAAACGTAAATGGCCCTGTCTAGTGTCAGTGTTTGTTTATCCTTTCTGGGCTACTACATAGAAACATGCCAGTGCAACATCGCAATATCCATGGACAAGGACCCACTCTCTATGTAGAAATAAACTGTTCATTTAAAGGTAATGATAGCACAGTTATTATTTTTAGGGGATTTTAATCATGCTTATTATATTTTATTGCTGTTATGCCCCCCAAAATCCTACACACTGGTCCTTTAGTAGAGAGCCATTAGGTAAATTACTTTTTTATATTGATGTTACCAATTATTTTAAAATTTTACTATGATAAGTCAGAGAAAAACAATTTATAAAATCCTACTTCCCATGTCTTAGCATTTTTTAGACTTTTGAAAGATTAATTTAAGTCATTTTAATTCCAATACTGTTAATAATATTAGAAATGGCTCTGTTCTAGCTAATTAGATGTGATTTACAGCCAAACTTCAGACCTGTCTTCAGTCGACAATGTTTCTTTAAAAGTGAAGAGACAAACCATCGTGCTGCAAGTCAAGTGTTACAAGGTTAAATGTGTGAGTGTGGAATCAGAACTTCATTTGTTTTATAAGTTGGATCCATCCTGACACTAATCACAGCTTAAAGAAGTAGTTCATGGTCAATCGGTATATTTATCTGCATTCGAATGAAAATACAGAGGAATGTTGTTCACATAAAAAGGGTGCACTTGGTCAGCTCCCTCCAAAACAACCTGAGTATATTAGTACATGTTCTTTAAAGTCCAAAGACAGACAATAATGACCATAACAGCAACAGGGCCAATGACTTTTGTAACCAACTACCTGCTGTGTTCGAACAACATGTAAATGTGAGTTGGATTGAGGCTTTCTTTATATTATACTTATACTAATATTAATGATGACATGATATTAATAATATGGAGAGGGTTAGAAAACATCTATAGTCTTCTTGATGTTTTCTCATCAACTATGATATTGTTTGAATGCCGTTATGATAGTACATTAGTGGGGCCATAAAGGAACACACTTTTGTTTTAATCATTTATCAAATATTACTCACAAACGAAATAAATCAAACTGCTTAGATCTTTAACAGATGATTGTATGAATTTAAAAATATTGTAAATCTCTTGTTGTCACATAATGTATGTCATTCAATATTAATACATATCTTCTCAACATTTCTCTGACTCAGTTGTTTCAATCCTCCATGTTGTTGTGTTTTTTCATTTTATAGAGAATTTGTGTTCTTGATCGTTGTGCAACAATGTTAAAAAGCTTTTCGAAAGAATTGAGTGGAAAAATGTTCTGTGGTGATGTTCAGAAAACAGTCTTGTAGCGAGCAAACAAAGTTGTGAGACAGGGAAGTAGCTGCGTAAATGATACTAAACTTAAGAAACAAAGTGCACTTTGTAAAAATATGAATGTAGTAGAAAACTGTAGAAATGATTGCAGAGTGAAGGCCATGCTGTAGGCAGTGTGCCCCAACATTTTTTTGTTAGCACTAGTAAATACTGTAGCCTATATTACTGTGGGGACACAGAGAAAGTAAAAATAGTTTTTTAGCCTTCCTAGTGGCATAGCTCAAGAGATGACAATGTCCATCTGCTGGTCAGTCTTCCATTTTGGTCCAGACAGAAATATTTTGGTACAACTATCCTGATGACGTGAGCTCAACTTTGTGGCTCAGTCTCTGTATCAGTCTGGACTCACTGCCGTCCCAAACACTTTTTCTGGCCTTAATCTGGCCTTGCAGATGACTTTAAATCTGCCAATAGTTCAGTTTGTCAGGTGTATGCAGCATTTCTGACAGGTTTAATGAAGGTGTTGGTCACTCTGTCTGCTTTACATCATATTTGCTGCAATAAAAATGATTAAAGTCAGATGAACAGACTAAAAACTTTATCTTATGAGGTAAAACTGATGCTGACAAAGTTTTCCTTTGGGGAAATAATTTGCAGTTGGAAAAAAAGGTAATAAATCTTAATATATCACAATATATTTTATTGCAATATTCAGCATATCGCAATACATTTAATATCACGATAATATTGTATTGTGACCTAAGTATCATGATAATATCATTTCATGGGTCTTCTTGTGAGTCCCACCCCTAATACACTGTGTATTAACAATATAGGCCTGTCACTTTTTATTTAAAATTCAAAACTTTGTCCAGATCAACAAAATATTCAGTTCAGAATGTAGAATCTGTAAAGGCAACAGACTGTATGAAGTACTTTTTTGTTTAAGTAGTCTGCAGTAGTAGTGGTTTGTTGTTCTTTTAAAATTCACTATCAGCTTGATCTCTTGCCCTGAGCTATACACAAAGCTAATAGAGACTATCTTGCAATGGGATCAGTGGGGGTGGAGGTAAACTCAGCCTTCACTGTGACTGCATCTTGACAGACATATCAACACCTACTGGATGCAACTGTTGTTGTACAAGTACAGTACAGATCTTTGAACTTACGGCCCAGTCAGGAGGTAACAATCGCACACTATGAAACACCAGCACACCACCTGCTCATCTCCCTTTGAAACTCACTCACGGGACAAGCCAACTGGGCCTGTAGTTAAAATCTATGTAGGTTAGGATTCCCACCCTTGTCTCCCTGAGTGGGTTCATTGCTGTTTTTACACATTTGGAAAAGGTCCAGGGAGCCAGTGAGTATCCAAATAAGAGGCAGAGAATGGGCACGGACAGCAGAAACAGGTGTGGTGGCCATCAGAGGCCAGCAGAGGAAAGGAGTTAACTGCAGTGATCGACATCGTAGGAACACTATGAGACAAATGTACCTCCTCTAGTACCTCCTGATTAGACTGTGGCTTCAAAGATGTGTCTCAGGGTGTCTGACATAAAACTGAATGTTTATGATCTTTAATAAGAATTTTCCACTAAACTGTCAAAAATACCATTTATTTAGGATGTATTTGTTTTAAGACAATACTGCATACAAATATCCAATGCAAAGGCACATTTACAAAACATCACTAACCAGGGCTTTACAAAAGGTACAAAAAAACAAAAACAAAAAATCACACAGTATTAAAAAGTAACAGACAAAAAAACACAAAGCAGGGGCGAAGTGCGGCTCTAAGAAAAAAATACATTTTCCTGCAGCTGGGAGGCGTGTTCATGTGTTTCAGATGGGAAGATATTCTTTGTAACATGGCCCAACATGTCACAGCAGTCACAGGATTCTGTTCACTGATTAGTTGAGGGTATTCTCTGGCTGCAAGTCAGTGCTAAAAGTTAAACTATCCCCAACTTTTAGTTTAGCCACACTTCACCACACAATCAAACGGCTGCAGCTTGAAATGGCCGCGGCGGCTTTTCATGGACAATGCGTGGCAGCTTGCCGCAGGCTGCACTTCGCTGTTGCTTGTTGTGTTTTCAGTGAAAGAGTGGCATTACAAGTTTGAGGGCAATGTTCTGCAACCTCGTCTTGAAATGGCAGAGGACTGAATTTTTATTGTCAATCATTCCTAAAACTTTTTTGCTATCAAAATTAAGGCAACACTTATAATTATGTTTAACTTTCTTTTGAGTACCACTTTGAGTATCCACTTACATTCAATATTTATATGTTAGGAATGTTTAGAGAAAAAAAAAATAGACTAAGACTAGAGACTGATTCCATCATAGCTCATCCTTCATACTGGCTCCTTCTTTGTGGATTTTACGCTTACATGTGCATTCAGCGGTGTTGTCATCTGGCTGAGGCACAAACTCCATGTTTGCGTGTCGTGTTGGCTGTCCTGTCTGCCGCTCCGAGTACATGTGCAGCACTCTGTAGTAGTAACAATACAGTCTGCTGGGCTGCAGCAGCTCTCTTGCCGCTGTCTGACCTACCCTGGCCATCTCTTGTGCTTCAGCGTCGTTCTCTTTGGCCCATTTGATTTTCTCCAAAAGGTCCGACAGGTTTCTCTTCACAGGGATGTAATGGGTGCCGGCTTTAAGGTGAATGTAGAAAAATTCATAATACTGTGAGTCCTGCTTCAGAACAAGACTGTTGCCAAGCATCAAGTACGGAAACCGATATGCTGCCACTGTTCCATCCACGTTCACCTGGTACTTATACTGAAAGAGGAGAAAATCTGAAAAAAACATTTTAAATATCAAGTGTTTCTTAAATGTATTCAACTGCTTGGGTTCCTAAAGGAGACATCACATCAAAAACAGAGGAAAGTAGTAAAAAATGGAGGAAAAAGCACCCGTCTCACTGTGAAAAGTTGCACACTTCAGCTTAAAGTTACAAGAAAAAAGTACGTTAGAATGAAAAAAAAAAAAAAATTCATTATGTATCCATTTTTTCTCACCTTGAAGAAGTCAAAGAATCCAACAAGCGGTGCTTTGCCCACATGTTTCTCTCTGTCTCTAAAGAAGAACCATCCTGTGATGCCTGCGTCCAGCAGCTCTGGGTTTTTCTTGGACAGAGAGACCAGGTGAAGACGCTCCTCTCGACTGTCCCGGCCACGGAAAAATGCCCGATCCGTTTTGTTCGTCCACGGAGGCCCTAGCGAAAGCAATGGCAAAGTTTCAAGGGAGTAAAATAAAAATGTAGA